CACTGGAGTAAATATATACTGTACTGCTATTCGCATATGGAAATGTTCTTCACTCTACTACATTAGTTTCTTCATTTACATTAACCGTACGGTCGAAATAAACGTCCACTGAGATTTCTGAAGTCTAGTTCCGGGAGTGAGATGCCGTTACCTCTAGGAAGCAATCAGCAGTTCTTTGTGTGCAGAAGATGAAAGTAAATTTACGGTGAGTCTCTCGTCATGCGTCACTGATAGCTCTTAAAAAGCAGGACGCTTATTTTAGGTTACTTTAATCCAATCCCTGTTCTTAAAAGTTTAATCCCGAATTGGAAGTACATTTGTTTATTCCTTCGCTTGGAGCTAAGAGCCATGAATCCTCGTCCTGATCGAGTATCTGCAGCGTGGCCATACCGTTACTGCCGATTGTTACTGTGCCACTCAGACAAGGGTACGTGAAGCCATCCGACGTTAGCGATTGGCATGTTAAGTGATGGTGTCGTTCTCATGTGTGGCAATGCTCAGCCCCATAGTGCTGGCCAAACTCATGAATTGCTGCAAACGCTTAAGTGGGAAGTCTAAAGTCACTCGCCATACAGCCCAGGTTTAACACCCAGATGAGTTTCTCTTCAGACAGAGAGGTGGAAACAGCCACTGAGAACTAGCTCACTGGGCAGGGACGTGATTTCTATTGAGCCGGGTTAAACAAGTTGGTTCTACATTCAGATAAATGCCTAATAAGTTTGGTTATTATGTGATAAAATGAAAGGCAAGTATGCTTCTTAATTTCTTTTTGTGTTTTCTGCCTATTATTAATAAATAATTTTTATTACCCTTGTAACCTTTTTTCTGGATCCACCCTCATATATATATATATATATGTACAGGGTGAGAAACAGCTTATTAAAACTTTAAAAATTCATAAAAAATGGAAGATATTATTATAAAGAAGTGCGGTTTGCAAGAAAATGCTGACAAGGAAGTCGGATTTGTTTGAGCATCAAAAACATTTTAATTTATAAATGTCAGCGGTAGAGGGCGCTGACATGCGAGAGATTCAGAAGAACTATGCAAATCAATCTTTCAATACAAGACCATGATGCACGAGAATTTCTCATTCGCTTTCAGAAAATTATCATTACCCGAGGGAGCGCTGTTGGTGAGGTTTTTCTGTTTGAACGGAGAGTCATCAAATGTTGTGAAAATTTACCACAGAGAATGACTGCAGACGAAGAATGGCCCCCATATCATGTTCTGGAATACTGAAGCTTTTCAAGCGGTTCGAAGAACCTGGCTTTTGGAGGATCGGCCAGTGTGTGACAGATCGAAGTGGAAGACCGTTGTTAGCGAAAAGCCTCTTCACCAACTTCGGTGGAAACCTCTATGAATGATATAGCGGCAGAATCGATCACGGGGAGTAGCAGTGCTCGGAAAGCTGGAAAGACATTGGACGTGTCTCGCTCATCGACTCGACGTATCATCCACGGGATACTGCATCTCAGTCCCTACAAATTGCATTCATTGCATGAGTTACAACCGGGGAACATAGCTAAGAGGGAATCATTTGCGGAGTGAGCTGTGGAGAGGTCAGCACCCAGAACACTCGTATGTGGGAGACGTCAAATCCTCGTGAATACACGATGAAGCTACTGCATCCAGCCAAGTTGACAGCCTGTTGTGACTTCAGTTCATCTTTCATTATCGGATCATTCGCCTTTGAAAAGCCAAGTGCCATGTCTGGAATAATCGTGCACAGTAACCGCTGAGAATTCTCACTCTTTTGCGTGACAAAGTCGTGCCCTAATTAAATCAAAGAGGTGTGTTGTCTGTAATTACCTTTATGAAGGATGTCGCGTTGCCACATTATGCCAATCCGTTAACACTAGAATTACGGGAAAGGTCACTTTGACCGTATCTTCATTTTAATTGGATATAACCGTTTTAATTCTTTAATTATAACTTTGATATTTTTGGACTTTTCCTAAAAACTTACGAATATTACATGTTATTTTTTTGTTCATTTTAAACAATTATTTTCGACAATATCATTAATACCTAGAATTCCGGGTACCCGTCATTTTGACTGTATCTAAAAATTTATAGATTTATCAATATATTTATGACTGTTATAACTAGTTCCGTTTTGCTGATTGATAAGCAAGTGAATTTTGATAAGGAAGATTGCATATTTTACAGAAGAGTGGGGAGAGGAGGAGGTAGAATAAAAACACCTGTTAAGAATTTTTGAGCGGCCACGTGTCTGCGCATTTCGCTTGTGTTAGAAAGTTTATTTTTCAGTAGACACAAAGGTAGTTTATTTCATTTGGATAGTTTTGTTGTTCTGACCTGTTCATCATGTCGCGTAGAAGCGCTGGTAAAAAATATCTAACGGAGGAAGGCATGCTGAAAGTTTTTGAAAATCTTTCTGATGATAATTCTGCTTCAGAAACTGAACCCGATAAAGAATTTCATTCCGATACTACATCCAGTTTATGCGATGAGGACTGGATTGTTCCTACTGAAACAAGTGAATCCAATTCGTCTGACAGAGAACCTGTTAACGAAACAGAAAAGGAAAGTAAAAATTTAGATCAGGATCCCAAAGACTGCAAATTGATATACTTGCCCTTGTTTTGGATATCTAGAATGCTTTTATAGAAATCTGTTTGAAATGTTATAAACCGGGCGAAAATATAACAATGGATAAACAACTATTTTCCATAAAGACTCGATGCTGATTTACTCAGTGTATGTCTAAAACGCCGGACAAATTCGGCATTAAATTTTGGCTTGCAGTAAAAATGTCCGTGCATGTGCAGTCAAAATATGTACTTAACGGATTTTCCTATTTGGAAAAGGACGAAACAAGACCAGCTGAAGAAAACGTTGGTGAACATGCAGATTTTCGCTTGATGGAACCGCTGAAATTAGTAAAAGACATGAGTAATTCAGGGATACGCTGCGTTGGCATAATAAATCGTTCAAAAAGAGAAGTACCTTATTCTTTAAAAAATACGAGGGATGAGCTCTGTTCTAGTAAAATTGCTAAGAATGGCAGTATATCGCTTACTTCTTACTAAGGAAAACAACAATAACAAAAAAAGTTGGAAATCGCATCTGGTGAAAAAAGTGAATTTTTGCAATTCGACCGAACACGGAGTTGATGTTTTGGACCCCGATGGCCAGAAAATACTCAATCCTCATCTAACCGTTGGTCAGTTCAAGTTTTTTTTAATATTCTTGATTTGACCGTGATATATGCATGGATAATTTACAAGGAAACAACTGAATATCAGAATATCAGCCGTCATGATTTTGTTTCGAATACGGTTGAAGGGCTTCGAAAGATGTATATTTCATCGAAAATTCACAAACTTTCTGGATCTAACAAAATGAGAATTAGTACTTGTGTCAACCCTTCCCGTAAGCGTAAACATTGCCAAATAAATGCATGCAGAGGCAACAAAACATTGAATACGTGTGAATACTGAAAAAAATATGTTTGTGGAACCTGTACAGGTAAAATTAAAAGAAGTAGTAATCTGTATGCACTGCAAAACCGAGTAATGTAAGTACTAATAGGTGTAATTTTTAATATAATATATTTCATTTTGAAAACTCTTTGAGCCAATTTATTAAATGATACGAAGTTTAAAAATATCTAGAGTGACTATTTTTCTTTTTTAGCTCTCTGTTATACTAACCTATTCTTCGATTAATAGATTTACTCACTTTGCTTTATTTTGGTCTTTTTTACATTAGATTATCTTTTTGGTTGCACATATTTACTCAGCTTACTTCAGTTACTTATTAAACAAGCAAAATGTATCGTTATAAGCATTAACTTGGAACATAATAATAGCATAATAATAGCAAAATGGGAGCCTTTTCTTCTATTCGGAACAAACCTTCAAAATGACCTCTGATCGTAATTATAAGTAAACGGAAAATGCCGTAATACTAGTATTAAAACGATCCCTATCGAGTATCTTTGGTGAAGAAAGAGTGATCAGTCGAGTTTACAAGATCGCATGGCCTCCACGATCACCCGATCTCACTCCGGTCGATTTCTGGTTGTGGGGCTATTTGAAATCAATTGTGTACCGTTCATCCCCTTCAACATTGGCCGAACATTAAGATTCTATATATCGTGAGGTTTCTTCAGTTCATTCCGATATGTTGCATTCAACTGTAACGGTCGTTGTGAATCGCCTTAGGTGATTCGTATAATGTTCTGGAGGTCATGCTAAACAGTTGATATTGCAAGAATAAATGAATGAAGCGTACTGTTGTCCTGTTCATTGCACTTCAGGTAGTCAAATCCATCTACCGGTGATATTTTTGACTAAAATTGGTTTTACTGCTAGCAAAAATACGACTTCCTTGTGAGCCCTTTCTTGCAAACCGCAGTTCTTTATCGTAATTTCTTCCTTTTGTATGAACTTCTAAAGTTTTAACGATCTTTTGGCTCCCTCCGGTATATAATCAATTTCCTAGTCAAGGGTATAAAGGTATACATAATCGACTTCGAGGTCAAGGGTATAAGGGAGTCCTGATTATTCTAAGTGTGGTCAAGTAATTATCAGTAAGCCTATTGTACGGATAACATGAACCGGAAGAACTTAAAGGTATAATAAAATTAACAGGAAAATTCACCCAAGCAACAGTGAAAAGTATACGCAACATTGCAAAAAAAGTTGAAATTGTATATATATATATATATTTTATATACTGTATTTACTAGCGTGTTTATATATATATAACGCGTAATTTATTAATGATTCAGACGATTAAGATTGAAATTAAGAGTTAACTTTTATTTAATTGCAGGTAATAACATTATAACAACTTGCAATATTTCTATAATATAAGTTATTATGTCATAGCTGATAAACATGGATAGATTCATCTTGCGATGAATTGAAAACTAGTTAGTTTAGAACCCTGTTAGTTAGAAATGAAGTTGAACAGTGTATTTGATTGAAAAAATATACAAACAAAACCAAAATTACATTAAAACTTACTTTCTTTATATTGCAGAACGTTCGGATGCTTGTCATGAATTACAATACAGCGGAAACACTTTTCTTTGCTGCAAAAGAAAAATATGTTTCAGTTATAAATTTATTCTTCATTTGTATATATAGATTTATAATTATATATTATATATATTATTTATAATTACTAAGTTATTGAGTTATAAAACTGTGACACATTTTATTCTAAAGTTTCAGAAAAATATCTTCGATTACATATTCACATGTTAAATCTACATTCACATATTACTTATATTCAAAGAAATAATCTGAATATTTAATCCAACAATAAAATATTCTTTCAATTTTTGTACGTTACAAATAAAACATGCCTGTTGTCATTCTGATTTTCACAAAAAATTGCATGGACGTTGTGCTCGAAGGTGTATTACTTACAATTTTATATGAAATTACAGCATGACCTATATATGATTTTGCAACTGGTAAAAATTGAAACAATCTTTAAATACATTTTCTCAAAGACCATCGTTTGAATTACATTAAAATTTGCTAAATTGTAATCAAATTATTATTTGTTATTTATTTGATATGTTTATAGCTCAGTGTTTCCTTTCTGGCTTCAGTCTCCTTACCCAGCACAGCCATTCATTCGTTTGCGTGCATTATTATTCATGCCGCCCTTCTGCTGGCAATCAAAGACACAAATTGTTGCTCTTCGAGGTAGCATAAGTTCTTCAGTTTAGTATTTTTAATTAATTTCATATCACTTACTATTCCATTATTCCTTCCGAAGACATTCCTTAACAAATGCATTAATTAAGATACAATAACACGCCGAACAAATATTAATTCAGAAGTGAAACAACAAAAATCAGCGTTATATTTTCACATTTCCAAAGGACGAATTTCAATTAATTTACCGAACCATCATCCTCAGCTGCAAAACCGCAAATGAACGAGATAAGGTATAATGATTAGATAAGATAAGAAAGCCTGGACAAGAGACAAGCCACTGGCACCATCTGTTGATGAAACCAGAGCTAAAACATAATTTCTTTAAAGTCTGAAGGCAAAGATGGATTAGAATTAGGGTCGTTAACTAGAACGGAAAGATTTTTTTTGAATGTGAAATGCCTCTAGAAAATCCATTTCACCAATGAAAGAAGTTTTTTGAATAATTTTGGCAGCAGAAAAATTGAAAGTGTGATTTTCGGACCAACAATGTTGGGCAACAGAAGACTTCTGTGTTTCCTTTTTTCTAACATATGCCTGATGTTCCTTGACGCGAAATTTTAAGGCTCTCTTAGTTTGGCCAATGTAAATTAAGCCGCACTGGCAAGGAATCCTGTAAATACCCCAGGAATTCATATCCGGAATGGGGTCCTTGAGTATGGAACTCGGAATTTTATTGATGGAAGAATAAACGACCCGAAAGTTAAATTTCTGCAAAATACATGCAACTTTACAGCTAATTGATGGAAAGAAGGGAATGACAACAGAATTTTATAATCTCCTAAAACAAGAGTTTGCCTTTTGGTGTGTTGTGATGAGAGTTTTCTAACTGCTTGATTAATAACTCATAACTGATTGATGATTTTCACCTAACATTATTAATGCATTAATGTTTTGTTATGACTTTAGAAAAAAATTAATAATAAATATATTTGATGTAATTCATAATATTTATACTTTGAATAATTTATACCATTCCAATTGATGACTTTTATAAATATTTGAAGCATTACTGCAGTTAATAGAAGCGACACTTGTGCCATATATATTATATACTCTTGTTTTATGTAATATACTGCTGGCTATTTAATGGCGACATTTTTCATATAAACAAAATTACTATCATAATAATTAAACGTTTTGTAATTTTATTATCATTTCTGCGTTTAAGCCTGCATAACGAAAGTCAAGATTGCTGTTAACAGTAAAAACGTTCAGTCAAAAAGGTTAAATTAATATAGTTATTAAGAAAAATTTTAATACGTGTTCTGACAGCAAAATTTCATAAAGTAATCAAAAAAAAAACATTTGCTTTTTATTTGCATAATATTTATTCAAAAATAGCCAGGTAATGGGATTTCTTTCTGTGTTACACTTGCTTCTTTCTGATTTTTAAATATTTTTCTGAAAGCAAACATATATACCGCGAAATACGTTTAACGTGAAAACGCTTAAGACGAAATATCGGTTAACACGAAATAATACAACGGTTCCGACAAACTACTATATATTTTCATGCATTTTCTTTCTCTTAAGACGAAAAAAAAATCGCTTGACACGAAAAGTTATCCTTTCTAGGAATGAAAAAAATACGGAAAACACCGACCTCGCAAGCGAGATGTAAGAGGTGTGTGAAATGAAAGAGAGGTGGTTTTCTATGTTTCCGTAGAAAGGAGGCTAACTTGGCTTTTAAATACTCTCGGAATAGCCTTCGACACGAGCCAGTTTTTTTTTCTCTAAGCTACTTTCACCTTCCACCCCTACAAACGCCGCACAAACATCTCATCTTTCATCAGTTGGCTTTGGAATTCGATGACGAGTACATCGCAGTGTAAGTAAAAATTTGTGAGTTTCGTTCATATGTTGCACTCTGCATGGAATTCAGTGACTCTAAGGTAGAATGAAAATTGTTTTTGTCATGCAGGATTCTCAAAAGTATCAGATTCTTTGGGGCCAAACGAAATGGAGAAGGATGATATTGAAACAGAGTCGACACTTAATGAAATGTTTGAGAAAGCTCCTGTATTATTGGACTGTCCTACTGTATTATCGGAAGAATTCGTTGCAGTAGTTGGTGATAATGTGTGTACAGCCCCAATTATGGCAAACAAAGACATTTTGGAGTTTTTTTTCAAAGCTAAAAAATATCATTGATGCAGATTCCGACGACCAAAAGGAAATGAATAATGTTCATTTCCTTTTCCTCCTGTTCCCACGTCATTCGAAATGAGGAACATCATGAAAAGTATGCGCGGTTATTTAGACGCACATTCCAAGGCTGAAATGAATAACAAAATGGATGACATCGAACCATTTGTTAACAATTTTGATGGTAAAAAAGACACTGCAAAGAAAAATATCAAATTATTTTCCAAAAACTGTATAAATGTTTTGTTATTCGAAAAACTTGAAAATTTTGTATTAATTTTCATTAAGTTCTTGTGGATGTTTTTGTTTCATTGATTTTTATTAAATTTATGCGTACATACATATCTATGTAAAATATACTCTAACACTTAATTTTGTTAAATATAAGTTTTTTTTTTTTTTCAATATCCTTTAACACGAAATTCTTTCAACATGAAAAAATATTACAGTCCCCTCACTTTCGTGTTAAACGATTTTCACTATATATTAATAACAAAATAAGAAAATGAAGTAACACAAAAATACTGATGTTTAAATGCGTCTCTTAAAGGATTTATATATTACTACTTCCTTGTAGGAAGTGAAAGAAATATTGCCATCGCGAAAAATTTCAGTTATTATATTTCAACAGAAATATCCATTTTGACCGTTCTATGAATCTATTTGGATGATTTTTTTTTTTTTTTTTTGCGTGACGTATGTATATACGAGAAAAATAAAGCAAAATAATTGTTTTCCAAAACGGATTGTAAATTGGATTTTGAATGGAGTCAAAAGGGATTTTTTCCGTGACACCTGTATATACGTACCTACGTATATGTCCAACTCGCATAATTAACAAATGATTAGCCTTGGAATATTTAAATTTCATATATGAGACTACTATAAGATTTAGTTGTGCGACTCCTCTTTTCACTGCAGTTGACAGAACCAAACGTATACACATATATATATAGAGAGAGAGACAAAAAGTAAGAAAATTAGAACCAAATTCACAAAGGCATGAAAGAAATGAAGTTCAGTACCAGTAAAATTCAAAATTGCTCTAAATATGTGAAAAAATCAAAAACAAATTGAAACTGTTATATATATATATATTACGGTGAAACACCGAAATCTGGAGAATGTCGACTTTCACCGGTGAATGTCAACATTCACATAGTCGCTTGGTGTATGTCCGAAATATTTTCCAAATACTCTTATTTCTGACTTACACCGGTGAATGTCGACATTCACCATGTACTAATGGTGAATGTTGAACATATAAGAATATTATATTTCCTTTTCCGTAATTCATTCGCGAAAAAACGCACTTGAGACTCAGAATAAGAACCTAAGAACATAAGAACTTAAAACACACAGTACATTCAAAATGAAAAAGGAAAATAACAGAAGTTATAAACTTACCAAATTATGTGATGCAAATCTTATTTATTGCAACAACTTAAACTATTATAACACTTTGAATTGCACAAGAGGCCTTTGCTTTTACAACTGCATTTATTTGTGGAACACTTCCTTTTGGAATGGCAGCGTGTACATATACTCCTCTCTTTTCGACCTACACCAGAGCATATCTGTGATTGTCGACATACACCGGTGGGGGTCCGAATATACAAGAATGTAGAGAAATATTCGATTTTCACCGACGTATTTGATGAATGTTAACATTCTCCGGTGAAAGTCGACATTCTCCAATTTCGGTCTTTCGCGGTGACATATGTATACGTATATATAACAATATCATATTTTTTCATATTCTCTATATATACAAAGATTGAAGTAAATATTATTAATTAATTGCAACAAATTGCATAATACTTGCGCAAAAGCTGCAAAAAATAAAATAATAATTTATTTACTAACATATTATTGAGTATATTATCTCCTTTAAGAAAGATACTAGAATATTAGTTGTTTTATTTTTTTTAAAAAAATTCCAAGATTCATTTTAAATGCTTATAAGTTACTTCATTCAACAAAAAATTCTACTACCTTTCTCAAATGAGATAATATACTCAATAATCCATTAGTAAATAAATTATTATTATACATATATTCGAATATACACACCTCCTTACTAGAGTGAAAAGTCCTTACACCACCTTTATTTTCGTAATAGTTCGTCGTTGTCATACTTCTAATTAGTCATACTTCTAAGTATTTTAAATGACGAAAATATTTAAATTTTGGCAATGTTAAATTAAAAAATATT